TTCTCTTCTATATTATATTTGGTTTGACGAACGAAAAATGTACATTTATTGACAATTGGGTAGACCATTAGCGGTTTCAGCGTCAGTGTTCTTTTCTTTCCCAGTACGTCATCACATCCACCATTTTTTAAATTGTAAACCGGGTCTAAAATTTGCATATAAATTAAAAAATGCACATGTACTGACACTTTGGCAACGAATGTGTAAACCTATTGAACAACAATGTATTTCCCGCCCAAATTTGGGTAAACCATTTTGCATATTTCTGTTGTTGGTTGTTTGATAAAATGGGCATCAACATGTTGATGACATTACGGTAAACGTATAGCAGGCTTTTATTAGTCCTTGTTCTTGAAACGATAACTTATGTTTTGGGGTCGTTTGTCCGACGCCATTTCCCGGACATCTGTAGACTGATTTTGTTCAACATACATATGCATACATGTTTACAAATGCACGATCATTTGGGTACGTCATCAACCATTTCTCAAGTATGCCTAGAGCGATTTCATTCAAACTTGTGGTTGGTTACTGATGTACGACATTTTGTTTCGTAATTTAATACAAAATGGCCGACTGGTGGTTTTCTCCTTCCAATTTCTCAAATACAGGACATAATGGGATACAAGATCTTCTCACGTATTTTTGGATTTCGGTGAAATTTAACGGTTTTTTATTTTTCAAAATACTTGGTATGAATGTCACACATACTGGCGATCATAATGTCCGACTGGTAGCCATATTAGATTAATTACCTAGTATCTTTAACCATTTCGAGGACACGCTTCGACTGTTTTACTTCAAAGTAGGCACAAAAACATGTCACAGTGGTATACATATATGTACATGTTGAATTGTTTTTCATTTTGGTGACTCCTGGTCATCTTACTCCCCTCAAAATAAACAGCAACATTATATATCATTATGTCATCAAACATTTCTTTGGTCAATTTTATTAAAACTTGGTATGAACATCGAGTTATTGATACACATCGTGTTTGTATGTGATTTGATTCAAAATGGCTAAATAGTGGCCATGATGGTTTAATTATTATGGACATACTTTAACCGTTTTGTTGCAAATTGGTACAAAGACAAAGACATGGTGTGAATATTTGTTGTGATCAGATTCAGTATCTGTATAGGTATCACCTCTTATATTTGAATGCTCAGAATTCTCAACCATTCCTACATATCATATCACATGGACTGAGAAAATTGCAAATAAATCTAATTTTTCGTGATAGATTGCACAAAATAATATAAACATATCCACGATATTATTCATGATATCACAGGCCATGTAATTCATTTTGAAAAGATGGAGCATTTATGTCTTGTTTTATGAAAGGTGACTAAAATGGACATTGGCATTGATTGAGTTAAACCACTATAGACATTAACCATAATTTCTTACACTGTTTAGCAATATGGATGCTGCCGCAAAGAAATCCGTATGGTGGCTGGCCAGCATCCGGTGAAATCGACATTGTTGAGTCACGTGGTAATGTGAACTTAACAGGATCCCCTTGGTAACTCGGTAGGTGTGGACCAGATGGGATCCACAATGCATTGGGGTCCTTACTATCCTCACAATGGCGCACCCCTAACAACCACCACCAGGTAACTATACATATTAAACATTTATACACAGTTTGTGATTAATCGGTGTTCAGATTTGAGTATACGCACACAATATCTCACAAAATATCGCCAATTTTTCAATTATTGTTTTTTTTATTAGATATGCAGAGAATGGCACGTTTGGTACCCATTTCCACGTATATGCCATGGAGTGGAATGATAAATATCTTAGGTAAGCCTAGCAACGAGCCGTAACTATGAGAAAGCTCACTCGTTTTTAATACCGCCCAGAATACTAGTACGTATATTCTGTAGCAGGGGTCGCACCAGAGGGCGCTGTCCGACCTCGATGAAATATTTCGAAATCATTCGTAGGCCATTCCAATGTGACGTCATTGTTTACAATTTTGCCAACCAGCATGCGAAAGTTTGATAACAAAAATGTCGCTCGCTGATCATTACAGGCTCGCGATCTGCTGCGATAACATTGCCCAAAGTAAAGTAAAACACTTACATGTAACATCAGCAGCGAACAACGCAGCCATTTTATCTTTCTGTGCGAACGATAGGTTCTTGCCATTAGAGTTTACAGATAACATAGGTTGATTTTGTGAAACAAGACCACAAGTATATAACGACGCAGTTTCGTGAATATCAGGATATTTAGTTAGCATAATGAGTCATGAAGGGCGGTGGTCGTCACGCCGCGTCCTGTTCGATATGGGACTCGTAGTGACGTATACAACGCGTGTAAAAGACGTTGTTTACATGAAATCTGAACACGAGCCGCACGTCGGCAATCGCCCTTTAAGTATGATACGTCACTTATGGGCAACCGGTGGAGTTTAGAGGGGGGTAAAGGTTATTTTCGTTCAACGTAATTGCAATATTTTTTTTGTTCGTACAACGTAAATTGAAAAAATAAATTCCGTAATTCTGTAATCACAGGCTAGACGTACAACGTAATCAATCAAATATTTTTTTTTGTACACTGTAAAAATGTTTTCATTTTTCTCGGTACGTACAAGAATTTACATTCAAATAAAAAAAGTCGTAAAGAATAATCCAGGGAAATTACATTTTCGAAACTGTAAAACGACTAGATGACACAATTCACTGCAAAATTCAATGTTCAATGTAAACTGTAAAAACGTCTTTTATTCCTTGTAAATTGTATAAAGCCCCTTTATATTTCCCGTAAAACTGTACCAGCTACCCCTCTTGCCCCCCTCAGTTTAAATAAAGTGTTAGTGATCCCAATAATTAATAATTGAACTGATATGAAAATTAGGCGATTTTTAAATAACGTCAAATGGAAATCTGCGCTCATATGATTACAACTTCATTTGTTATCACAGATTCCTTTTGGATGGTGAAGAAACAATGTTTGTCGATCCAGGTGCGGGCGGTTTCTGGGAATATGGCGGATGGCATGAGTCTTTGCCAGGCGACGATAACCCTTGGGCTCAAGGAGACAAGTTGGCACCATTTGATAAACCTGTTAGTAAAACATTTATATGTTTGATTTTATTTTATTTTTGTTCATATTACATGGCCGTCTACGTTTTGCGTCGATTTTGTGAATCACGACGAAAATTCAGTTTGAACTTCGATAATATTTAACACCGTGTGAAAATGACGTACTTATTCGGGGACAACGAAAACTCATAATAGGCTTTAGATTAGATACAATGCCCGCCAAGATCTCGTTTAAGGCGAGAGCCACGAGACTTGTTTTTTGCTCGTACAAGCAACGTGTGTGATTAAAATAAAAATATTTACATTTTCTTACAGTTTTACATCACTATGAATGTGGCAGTTGGTGGTACGACTGGGTACTGGGGTGAAAACCTAATAAATTCTCCTTGCCCTAAACCATGGTCTAATACTTCACCACACGCTCCAAAGGAATTCTGGGAGGATAACGCATGCTGGTATCCAACATGGCGCCCTGACGAGAACAATGGCGAATACGCCGCAATGCAGGTCGACTACGTTCGTTTGTACGAAATCACCCCAACACAATAATAAACAAGACACATTAAAATGATTGAAATAAATCGAATTGTTCCTGTATAATCATTATTTTGTGTGGCGAATGTGTGTAGTCTGTATAACGTCTTCGAATCATGTCGGAGAGTGTTAATTTGTTAGGAGTTGAAATCACGGAGGGTTATTGGAAGATTTGTTGAAAAAAGTATAAGTTAGACACTGAGAAAAGATGTTGTAGGAAAGAGAAGTTGGCACATTTACGAAAAATACAAATGTTCAGATAAGCCACAAGGAAAAATAAATTTGCACTGGCCACACTTTTTCAACCACCTCCTTCGTTTTAAATGGTTAATTCTTTAGTTCTTCTTTTGATGACATTACCACTACTTCTAGCGTTTATGTGCGCTCAGTTCATTTTTTTGGTTTGACAAAAAACATTACTTGCACATATACCAGTAACTTAGACATAGTGTTGAGAATGTTTGTATATTGGTATGCAAATAATGTCACATGTTGTGTCATGTCTCGCCCGAATCAGTTACCGACACGAACCAAGGGACAAAGTACCGCCCTCATACATTAAGTTATATATTATAAGTTATTAGAAATGCGACTGTCCGCCATCTACAAACACAAAGAAATGGTGGTCGGAACTACATTCACATCATACCATGTGGAAGGTACTCCGTTAGTACTTTCCATGATCATACTTACCCCAAATATCAAGGCGTCCGTTATAGAGGCACGACTCTCGGTATAATTCAGCGTTCAATAACTGAAACATTAAAATATTGTCAAAATTAATTTTGCTGGGTTCCATTCACGACTATTTTTGACTAAAGATTGAATTCGACAGCGACGGTGTTAACAAACACAACGCCAAAACGAAATGTTAGTCAAAATATATCGAAATGAGTGCATTTTTTGAAATTTTATGAAAACTAAAATAAATTAAACTAAAGGTAGATTTAGGTATAAGTATCGGTCTTACTTCTGGTCAAGATAGGTATAAATACGCCGATTTGGTATACTTATGGGTGCGTATATGAACGAATATCTACACCTCAGATCTCGGCCTCAGATCCATAGGTAACTGTTTTATTTGGAATAAACAGTGATGAAAGAAATGGTATTTTGGTATAAATATGGGTATGGATTTTGACACTATTTAGGTATAAAAATGGTCACACTTTTGAGCACCCAGGGGCACCTCCCTACCCAGCTATGTATCAACAGCCCCCCGGGGACTGTACACTTCGTAAACAAAGTTAGAACGCTCACCAGAAACACATATACTATATTTCTAAGCCTAAGCCAAAGACGAGAACTACTACTTACACCACCGCCTCCATCTGTTATCTCGTGTTGCTCAGCACATACAAGTGATTCCAAACAGCATTTGTTAAAAATGGACATCGGTCAGCCATTTTGAATAAAATGTAGAAATCAAAGAATACATGCATCAGAGACCCAATATGTTCGATGGACATACCAATTTTGAATGAAATATGTCCGTGAACGACCGAGATCCAGTTCAGGAATGGCAGAAATGCTTAATAAATTTGATGGAATGTTAAAATGGCCACCATTCGGCCATTGATAGTGAACATCCCTGGAAGATGACGCGTGTGAACTTTACTGGGCTTGATAATGAGTCGTCATGTCTGGGTAATTTTCCAAAGCACATACTAGTAGTTATATTAAGTAAATTGTATGATGACAAAGAGAATGAGTTGTGTCTGTTGCTATATATATTCCACTTCTGAATCATTTGTAAGTTCAATGTTTTGATCATTATAGTGGTGTTAAGATATCTTGTTTATAAATTAGTTGTATGTGTCTATTTTTGTAGAAAGTTATCCCGTCCATGGACAGACAGCACGACCATTTTCATCAGCTCATTACTGCGTACACTAATGCAAATGTATAGTGGAACACAGGACAAAATAACCTGTGTCGCTGGTTTGAATAGTGGTTCAACATATACAAACGAATCACCTCAATTAGTCTACTGTCTGGCATAAATATTAATTCATGTATACATTAAAATCCGAATATGAATTTGAAGATAATAATATGACTTGTTCCCGTATGTGTAAACTACAAAAATCAAAGACATCTTTATCAGAGGGATAATGACTTTTGATTGAACACTCTTCCTTGCAAACTGCAATTTCTTCTTCAGAAACTGTCGACAGATAATCGCGACATCCATAAATCTCAGGAACAATGAACATGATACGAGGGCGGCCTATTGGGCAATTTGTATTGCGTGATCTGCTAAAACGATGGGAGTTCCATTCAACTACAACACCTTTTAGCTCGTCCTAGAACAAAAATCAATATTTCGCAGGTTAAGTTGACTAGGTTTTCTTTTCACAAATGTGGTTTGTGTCACCCCTGGAATTACGTTCTTTAATCTGAGTTTAAAAAGAGCTCAGTTTCTGGTTGTAAGATTCAATGTTCTTCAAATAAAACATTTAAAAGAAAACATCATTACATCATCACAAGTTCAATAATGTATTCATTGGATGTTAATTTCGTTATTTTCGCTAGTTTGATCTGATATCTTTTGACACGTGACATTACAATAGAACTTTTACGGGGAAATTGGCACTTTGTGAATAACCTCAAAATAATAATAAAAAATAATGACAGTGAAGAATAAAGTCAGTATACACATACATCTGCTTCATGTGCAACAATTATACACTAGCATTGCGTAGGATGTAATATGAATTGTGTATAATTATGGAGTATTTAAATTATAGCCTTATTGGGCATATACAGGAATGAAGAATGTGATTACCTGAATCATTTTCAGAAAACAAAACCGGAAAAGGTTTTTCTCGAGCCTGTCACCACAAAAATGACCATCCAGAACTGCACACATTGAGTGCGCACTATTCCCCACCATTACTCTATTCGTTGATTTAACTGACTTGAAGAAGGTTTGCATTTGTTCAATACACCTCATCAATATGCTTCATCCCAGATTACATTTCTAGAAAACCCATCAATGCAGCCATTAATTCCAATGCCATATGAGGTGAGCTTATCATAAGAATCTAAACGCCACATGCAATTTGGACCTGGAGAACCGTATCTTCTGTGCCTCAGACGACGAATTCTAGATTCCACCCCTTCAAGGTCGATAACTTTTAATAACAGACGTACACATTACCTGGCCACTACCAATCCATGTTGCAGGCACTTCAAATACATTCATTTATATCCATGCAATCTTCCTGATCCATCATTTTTTGTTCTTATAAAGGATGCTACATCTTTTATATCGGAATATTGTTTACGTCTAATTGAGACGTTTCCTCTGAAGCAGCCGTTTCATACTAGTATGCATGCTTATAATAATAGCGTGGCTGACAGCTAAGGAAGCTAGAATTTCGCTATAGTTTAATTCCATTTTAAAATACAATAATACTGCATCGTCTCTGTCCATTTTGAAAATATATCTATGAAATAACTAGACATTAATAGATATAATGAGTGTATGAACGAATAGCGTGAGAGTTGTGATGTACTGTAACCAGAAGCAAGTGATGATAACGTCTCTCTTAAAACTGGAAGATAGAACTTGGTTTTGCGGTAAAACAGCACTTACCTGTACACAAAATGACAAACGTCCTCAAAAACCAGAAAAAATGAGCGGTGTCAAAGTAGATAATTAAATCTCGAGATCTCGCAATAGTATCTCGTGATGGTATTTCGTGATCTCGTGATAGTATCTCGTGATAATATTTTGTTCCTGATCTGATATGGTCCTACTTCATTGTCGACTGAAATAGAGCATATCTGTGTAAATTGTAAAAACGTAAATTTCAAGTTAAATTCGCACTTTGTAAATTATGTGAGGTACCGTCCCCGACCAACAAAACGTTTGCGGTGCTTCAAACCCAACTAGTCTAGTAGGAAATAGGGGTCCCCATGCACCCCAATGATATATTTTTTTAACTTATATTTTTTGAATCCTCAGGATGTCTAGTACAGGAATTTTGATGTTCCCATTGCCAAATTTTGTCCCATGACGTCACTAGGTGGCCATTTTGACGGCCATCTTGGATTTTTACAGAAAACAATAATCGGTACAACTATTGAACTAGTCATCCTACAGAAACAAACAAATACATTTTTCCATTTAATTTGGACATGGGGAATTCAATGAGAATGTTATTTGTATGATTTAAAAAAAAAATCATTTAAACCTGCAATAACTATTTCAAACTGTAAAATAAAATGTCCGCATCGTAACATATATTCAACCTGACCAGTAACAATGATAAACATGTCATTTAAGTATATGCATATCTGATTCACACATTTCACTGTCACGCAATCTAATGTGATCCACGTGTAGAGTGCACGTATGTGCATGCATCTATGTACACATGTATTATCGCGCACGCATCGATGCACACATGAATTATCGCACACCCAGGCTGTGAAATGACGATTTTGTGCATCCAAAGTGCAGTGAGTTTTTGTTGAAATAAGGCATGTTTGTGTTCTCAGTACATTAGTTTTCCAATTTTGGCGTAATAAACCTTTCCATTTATTTAAAGTGGTATCATTTTGCATTGTCAACCAAGGCGATCATAGCCTCTTTCATTTGGGTCAACAAAACTGATAGTCACCTCTATTGCAGTAACCATGTGTATATCCAATTTGTGTCTGTAATACAGAGGATATTTTTTTAGGATTCACACTACCTATTAATCCACAGGCACACAACAAGTCGGGTGCTGGTTGTGATAAAA